ATAGATAGCATACACCATTTTCATCTGGGGTATATGAATAATCATCACCTTCAAATTCAAGAAACAAACCATACATTTTCCATCATCGTTTCTAACTTCACAATTGTCGCCAGCAAAAATGCAAGTTTTTCCATCTTCACTTGGCACCATTGGATAACTGTTGCTATTACACAATTGACACTTTTCATCTATTGTCTCTTGTATGCAATTTTCAATCATGGGACCAGGAACTCACTTGTCAATATGGATATCCTCCAAGACATCCATATTGACAAGAAGCTTCACATTTATTGCACACGTAATTTTCATCGAGATAATAACCATCATAACACCTAACACACACGTCACGAGTATCATCACGGTAATCACAGAAATCGTTTTCTTTACACTTCATAGTTGTGCCACTCACATATGTACACTTTTCAGAGCAACGATTACACCGATCCTTTATTAAATCAGTACAAGTCATTACATTGCAATTTTCACATTCACCGTCTTGAAGGTAATAGCCTTGTGGACACGAAAGACATTCTGTTACATTTGAAACATTACAAGTCTCACATATTCCTTCACATTTTTCACACGTTTTATCGTTGAGATAATACCCCACTATACAACTTGTACACGACGTCACATCGTTTGATGAACACGTTTTGCATAAAGTATCACATTTAACACACTTTCCTTCAATAAGTACATAACCATCTATACATATTTGACACGTTTCAGGAGAATCAATCAAACAATTTTCACACCCAGTTCCACACTGATAACATATACCATCTTCTAATTTATAGCCTTCTAGACATTCATAACAACGATTGACATTTTTGGGAGAACACTCTTTACACCCATGAACTTGGCTACAATCTCCACATTTGTCTTCTGCTAATTTGGCTAAGCCATCATTACACCTTTGACATATAGACGTATTCATGTCACAGTTTTTACAATTCTCAACAGTACATTTCGAACACTTTAATATACCATCCATCCCATACCCATTATTACACTTCGTGCAAATTCCTCCGTCATCTTCGTCTGACTCGTGGCAGTTGTCGATTTTAATACATTCGGTGATGTTGTTGAATGAATTATCACTACATTCTGAACACTCAAATTGGGACTCATATTCTATACAAAGTGGGATCTTACCAAGTTTACAAGTACCACTTTCTTTGTCAAGGTAATATCCAGTTATACAATATTCACACGTTCCATCTTCTTTGGCGACTTCGCAGTTGGAAATTTTAATACACTTACCATCTAAAATGTAAGACCCACTAACACACTCGGTACATACAGAACAGTCTTTTGTAGCACTTTTACAAAGAGAGTTTCCAAAGAAAGAACAATCATAACACTCGGTCTCATTCACAATTGTATAACCTTTGGGACACTCTGTACATGTGGCAACTTTATTATAAAATTCTATTGAAGCACACAACTCGTCTCCAATAACACAAGTGTAATTTGAAAAATCAAATTTATAACCTGGACTACATTTTTCACATTGACTGTATGTTGAAGACACCCCACAATGGAAATCAAGTCTTGATATGCATAAATGAGAATCGTCTAAAAAGTAGTTATTTATACACTCTGTACATACACCATCGGTCACTTTGTTACAATATGAACTTGGTGAAGCAATACTAAAAGTGTTTAATATTAAAAGTGATATTATTAACACCATTATTACACTTGTAATAATATTTTTATTTGAGTTTTTTATACTCAATTTATTGTTTTAGTAACAAAGAGTGGGATGAGGAACTGCAAAAATATACCAAGTGCTTTTTAATTGGTGAATAATTTGGGATTTCTCAACTTTAAGGTGTATAATTTTTTTATCCCATGATTAGTTCTCCCAATTTTAACAGAACATTCTTTTCAACACATAATGTATTTTTATTTTTTTGACTTACAATAAACTAAAAATATAAAAAACAAAAACCACAAAACACGTTAAAGTTCATAATCAATTATTTTTTTGGTTTGGCGTTTTTGTTTGCCAAACTTTTTCTTAACTTTTTTTCTTTTTTGTTAATAGCAAGCAGTTGCATTTTCTTTTTGTTTTATTTTCATTCAACTTTGGAGCACTTTAAAAATAACAATTGGGCGTATTTGAATTATCCGAAGTTTTAGTTTCCATTTCATTTATCAAATTCGATTGGTTTGAATTGTTCGTTATTGTTTGTTCAATACTTGATATTTTTTCCATTTTTTTTCTCCGATTATTACAAAATCTATTTGTGTACTACTTACTATATTTTGAATTTCCTTTGAATTAATACTTTCAAGTGTTTCTCCCTCCGATTCAAAAAACATTCAAACGAGTTTTTAGAATGAAGTTTTGCAAAAATAGTATCTAACAACAATTCAATATTACAATTTATTATTTTATCAGTGTAAAACCGATTGACTAACATTTGAATACACTTCGTAGTGGTTTCTTACTTTTTGGATTTGTCATTTCAGTTTGAACTTTTATGTCTGTCTCATTTATAATGTCCAACAAATGATCGATAAATTTTCCAAAAATTGGTTTTGGTGTAAGAATGGTTCGAGAAAGCATATTGTGAAAGGATTCTGCTATATTGTTGGTGCGCATCATTGAATCATGGTGGCACCAAATCGAAATCATTACATCATTTAACCAAGTGTTTTCGAAATATTTATAAACAATAAAAGAATCTTTATCTTTTAAACGTGATTGTAATATATATAATTGATGTTTTAAATCTGTTTTTTTTCAAAATAGGAAGTGTCATAAGTCTTCTTACTTCTTTGGAGAATTGCCCATTACACTTATATTTTTCAGACAAGCCAAAGTTTTGAATTTTCCGCCACTAACATTGTGTAAAATGGAAATAACACCCTTTCATTTGACAACTCAAATCTCTAATAGATTTTATAAAACCTGCCTCAAAATCGGAATATATTGTCAAATCGGTTCTATTAAAAAGTGGAACACCAAATAATATCAAAGATATTTGATCAATAACAAATAATACTTCGTTGTATACTGTTGCATCTTTTTTATTTAACAAAACATAAAAACAAGAAAATGAAAACAAATCACTACACACAACATGAAATGTCACCAACTGATAATGGGTTGTTGGGCACCTAATAAAAGTGCCATCTACACAAATAACATTGGCGTATGTGGCTTTTTCTAACATTGATTTCGAACCAAAAATTATAATTGTATTATCTTCGTTTCTATACAATAAAATGTTTTTACTTTTTCATTTTCAAAATAATTATCAATGGTTACTGTTTTGTATTATTTATTTTTATATGTTCTTGCTAATCTACTGGACACACTCAGTCTTGAATTGGTGTTTATTAAACAATTTTTTACTATTTCTTTAACTGGTTTATATTTGTTTTTCTCATCATAGATTTATGTTCTGATTTTTTGTATTTCTTTCAATCTCTGAATATATTCCATGTGATTTGTATGACCATTCAAATGCTGTGGCTTTGGTCCAACAAGATAATTAACTTCTTCATCAACAACTTCTTTTACAAGTGTAATAGTTACTCCACAATCTTTACAACTATACCGTTTATGTGAAGAGTCTTTTGAATAAGAAATATAACCTTCAAAACAAGGTAAAAGTGTTCTTTTTGTTGAATAGACAAATTCAACTTTGTGTTCTTGAGTTGGACTGTCCATTTGTTAGTAATTTTGATTGTTATTTTTAGTTTTTTATTTGTATTATATATCGAATATCTCATGTTATAAACAGAAAACCTTTCTTTTTAACTTGTTTTCGAATTAAAAAAATATATCAATGTAAATAATTGTTGATTTAAATGTATATAAATATAAAAAGATTTTGATTTTTGTATGTTTTTTATTGTAATAAATATTTAGTATTAATTTTGGATTTTGAACTATTTTAATAACCGATTTACTTAGTATGATCGTGTTTATTTTAAAATAATATATAAATACTTCACGTTTATATTAATATATATTCGAAAGAAAAACACAACACAAAATAATTACATTTTTTTCAATAAAAAAACAAAAAATAACAAAAAAATAAATCTTAAAATGCCTCATACACATTTTTTGGCAATCTTAACATAACTAACACATTACAAAAAACCTACTTATACAAAAATCTTATTTTTTAACTTTTATTATAATATGTTTTAGTTTCTATTTAAAATAGTTGATTATATTTTTTGTTGCTGATGATGAATTATTAAATCTTTTTTGCCTTTGTGACAACATCAGTATAGTAAAATAAACTATTTATAAAGATATGTTCCATTGATTTGTGCAGCGAAATTTGTTTAAAATGCATTTTTGTTTTTTATTTTAAATAACTTGATAAAAATTTCCAAAAATATATTTACATGTTTATTGATATTATTGATAAAAATAACCATATTTGTTCAATTAATATATTCAAAACTTGTTCTTATGCTTGCAACACTATATAGTAGCTTAAAATAGTTATAAATAAAACAAATAAATGATTGTAATTATTATTTAAAGAACATTTTTATTAAATACTACAAAAATGGGAGAACTCGTCCTGGGATAAATTTCCTAAACTCCGGACACAAAGTCCTACGTATCGGACTTTCGGATTTGTTTTTCTGCTATTTTTTAAAATTTTTATTGAAATAATTAATGAATTATGTGAAGAAAAACGGGAAATGAGCTAAATGTTATGAGCATTTATAATTTTTATATTATTTTTGATGTGTTTTTTCTTCAATTATTTGTTTGTTCATCCCACAAAAACGTTCATTAAAACATTCATTGTTTTCACAAATTATAAATAAAGTAACCACTTTGTTTTGATATGTAAAAATATTTTTTTAGCATTAACAAAAATATTGTTTTTTTGATTATAATTGTTGTTAACAAAACAATAATTATAATACATTTTATTATAATCACAATAATTGATAAAAGTGTTCCATTAACAACTGTCATTATTGTTTTATATTTTTGTCATTAAACAATAACAGAATTTGCTTTGTCTTTTCATATTATTATTAAACAAATTCTATAATAAATTAATAATGAAATGATTAAATATTATAAAAGTCAAATAAACACAAGTGATAATTGTTAATTTTTATTTTATTATAAAAAGTATTTTTATTCCAATTAATATTTCGAATCACCTATATTTTATTTATAAAAACAAAATTAATCAATTATTATATATTTACATTTTTATAATTAATATTTTAATATTTTCAACATAACGAAAATAAAAAATTTTTGTTACTTGTGGTGTTTTAATTAATTTCATGTGTTTCCATATAAAATTTTGATACACTTTTTAATTTAATTAAATAATAGAATTATAATTAAGTCGTGTTTTTCGTTGTTATCGTAAAAATCAACGAATTAAAAAAAATACTTTTATTTTCATTTTTTAAATGTTATAATATTGATTAAATTTGCGATTTTTGTATAAAATTTGGGTATGAAATTAATTATTCGTGTTTTATAAACCAAAATATTCCATGATTTTGAAATAAGGAAATTGTAGTGTAAGTAGAAAATATAAATCAAAAAATAAGAGGCAAAAAATCGAAATAAGGGAAAATAATGATAAGTAAAACAGGTATAAATTTCGACAAAATATATTAATATCCCGAAAAACAAAAGAAAAAATACTGTTTTAACGTGTCGGACTTTATGGCCCAAGTTTAGCATCTAAAAAACTTCCATATAAAATATGAAATAATGGTATTTTTGTTTTATAAAAACACACAAATGATCCCAAAAGTGCATTTAAAAAAACTGATAATTATTATATGTCAAAACCTTTAGAGTCAAACCTTTATTAATCAGAAAAAGAATAAAAATAACAAGAGCAAATGCGTTGTTCGAAGAAAATTATTCTTACAGTGCCTTCGCAAAAATAGTTGGAATTACAAAAACCATAGTATCTGAATTAAAAAGAGGGGGAGAGGCAAACCAAAAAATGGGTCGACCATAAAAAGTGTCCAGAGAACATATTCAATTTGTAGTAAAACAGACAATTGATTCAATTCCAAAACGATTTAAATTATGCATCGAGAATCAAGTAAAATTTGATAGGACATTTGCTTTAATTTATTGTTTTTTGATTTTTAGAACTCGAAATTTTATTATTATTTGTATTGAAAGAGAAACCTCGAATTTGTTTTTTTGTTTGAAATAAAAATTTAACGAAATTGATTTTTAGTATTTTGACATAAATGATTCAGATTCAATTCACTGAGATGTTTGTTGTTGTGTAATTAGCACAACTATACTGTGTGTGTTGTCTAGTAGAATATCCAAATTTTGTCCAAACAAATAACAAGATCGGGTTTTTGGAAAAGGTTGGCTGATATTTTAATAAAGTCCTGATATTGAACGAAAATAATTGAACGGAATTGGTATTTTTTTCAAAATTAAGTCTGTACTTTCGATTTTTTGTTTTTTTTGTTTTTTAGGAGAAATAAAAAATAAAAAACGGGACTTTAGGTAGTTCTATAAATACGGTGGTACAGACTTTTGAACTACAGTTTACATTAAACAATAAAAAAATTGGTTTTAAGTTGGAAATAAAATAGAAATTGCAAAAGGTAACATTTACACATCAGTGATAATTAATTTAAACTATATAAAATTTATGTTCATACAATTTTTATAATCAAATGATTTATAAACTTTTCAAA